CTTCAGCTGTCGCAATGAACGTCCACAGTTCATCAGATAACTATGGGCCGTGTGGCTGACTTGTGATTGACAGGTCACTACCAGCACCATATTCAACGTCTTTACATCACTTCTCCTTATTACAAATACGGTCACTTCCTTTCACGGGTTGCAAAAGGCCAAAATGGCAATGGCCAAAACGTCTAAGGAGGCATCTCGCCACCTCTCGTCGCCGTTGGTTCAAGCTCCAAACCCTGTCGCCATTGGCGCCGGAGGGGATTTTCAGCAGCGCGGTATGATAGCAATCACCATCAAATGGAAAGAAATGGGTAAAGAGGAGTGCTTGAGAACCCACTTAGCTCTGTCACGCACACTTGATTTATTGGAGTGCGCACGGGAACATACAAACACAAAGACACACACTTGTAATCGGACCAATAGCTCAGGAAGAATATATTTGGATCTGATTTAAGAGATGCGTTAGAGGACTGAAGAGAGAGAAAGAAACTAAGACGAGAGCTAGTTCTGAGATATAAAAGAAATATAGATAGATGGCCCAAAAGATAAAACGCAGAGGAAGGGAAAGAGAGAGAGAGAGGGACAGATGGAGAGAGCACCAGAGCCAACAGCAGAGCTAAGTGGGTAGTGTGCTCCCCAGACAGCGCTCCATATGGCCTGGCAACGCCATACACAGCCCGGCAGCACAAACACACACACACACACACACACATACACAGCGTCTATCCACACGGACACACACAGCATGTACACGCACAAATACCCGAATACTCCTCGACAGAAACAATCACACGTAGTGTGTATTCACACGTTGCAATGTACCCACACATATCCAGAGCTCAGGCCACTCTGCAAGAAAAAACAACAATCTATCTGTGATCTATCGATGTCTTCATTTTATCTCTCCTTGGTATTTAGGGGTTGTGACATTTAGCATCCATACTATTATATTAGCTCTGGTTGCGGCAGCACCTCATCTGACTCGGGTGATAGGAGCAGTGTTTTACCGGTCACTGTATCCTCAAACATAAGTGTGTACTGTACAATTTACTCCTCATTTGTCCTGCATTTTCCCACAAAGACAAGCAATACGTGCCAATTTTCCGCTCGTTGCATGATTATTACGGCCTTTTCAAAATAAACCTTCGTCTCCAGAAGGAACTCGGTTAGCTTCGGGGAGCAAAACTACTGGTTTTGGACAGTATAATGTGAGGGGAGACGGCAACTTCCAGTTCTCAATAAAAAGTAATGCGAAAGACAAAACACAATTTCGCCTCGTTCCCAAATTGCACAAATTATCTTAATGTATACCATGTTCTTTACTGCTATTGGATGTATTTTTTCTTTCAAAAATATGACAAAAATCACTGATGTGTAAATCCTCCCCATCTATTCTCTACACTGCATAAAATTCTCAGTGCAAAAGACCCAGATTTGAAAATAAAAACAAATGAAACAATTCTAATCAAGTAAAGGTGGAACTCTCTCAAGCGTGCAGAAATGCAAGTGAGAGTGTGTCAATCCACTGGCCCCGGGGGTCCCCGCTGGAGCAGAGACTCATGGGAAGACCAGGCTAACAGCCAATCCCTGAAGGAAGGGAGGAAGTGACTCCTCGTCGATCCCAGGGGGGTCACAGAGGTTTCTACGGGGCTGCTGGGCCGTCACCATGGTTCCCGGCTTTCCAGGGACGCCACGCACCGACCGCATTCAGCGGTGTGGATTGTGAACATGCTCACCTCGCCTTACATCCGTGTTGCCTGTGAAGAATGTGCAGACATGCTAAGCTGTCCTAATCATCCCAAAGTTATATTTTGTAACCACCAATATTTGCTAATGGATTCTGAAGAACTCTCACTGGTGAACTTCAAAGAGAACTTGCAAGAGCAAATAACATGGAGAAAAAAATAATTACATTTAAAATGCATTCATTCAACACAGAGTCGCTAATGACACACGCTGTTGCATGTGGCGATTAACTACAGCCGAAGGATTGTTCTCCAACAGACTCTGAAAGGTCTGCAGCTCCGGGGCTTCTTAAAAGTTCAAAGTCACCCAAGAGATGGACTCAAGAAGACACTGTGGTCAAGTTCAGAACAAGCCGTTCAGAACAAGCCGTTCTCTCTCACAGCGCTTTGTGACGGCCAGCAGCTCCGTCACCACAAGTCCGACCCGTCTCCACCGAGCCGATCAGCCTGACGAGCGTCTGGCCACAGCAGACCGAGACTGAATAACTAATAAACATTATGCCTTGATAAACAGCGCGCCGTCCAGGCTTTCCCTTTCTAGCTACTTGAAACGAGTAAAGGTGGAAAATTCACCACTGTTTATGTGGATGTCAAGTCAGTGTTTATGGCTAACGTGGTTGATTGAGGCAATACAAATTCCTCCATGCGCGCCGTAAGCCAGAAAGTTCTCCGACTCACAGAGCTGCGCCAGCATGGCCTACATCTACCAGGATGCATTGCAGGGTAGCTTCAGACGCCAGGAGGGGCCCGGTCGGCCATATTCTGTTGCATGTCTAATGCAGCCTTTCCTGCAGCATCTCGTTTGCAGTGTACGCTGGCTTGATAAATGCAGCTGTTATTGTAGATTCCAATTTCATATCTCATTATCGTTGGTAAGTATTGAAGCGAGAGATAAAACCTGAGGTCATCTCGGTCCTACTGCAATGGCCAGACTGTAACGTCTGGTGAGCCATGTGGGGGAATACTGACCGGAGAGGCACAGACTGTAAAATGTTTTAAAAGGGGGGCCATATTGTGGGATTCCTCCGAGAAGCAGATGTGCTCCAGCTGATTTACTCTGTAATCCCACCTCATTCTCTGATCCAACAACACACACACACGCACACACACACATACAATGCACAGAGAAATAACATAAACAAGTTTTATCCTTTTATCGTTGTGCGGCAGAAAAAGAAGAAATAACACTACTGCCTGCAGAGGTCACAGCAAACAGAAATGAGCAGAAACTTGCATTTTGACGCGCAAAAAAAAAAGCCAGCAAAGAGGGAGATGCTCATATGACATCAAGGAGTGTTTCGAATATCATTTGCAATTCAAGTCTGTACTAAGAATGGCTCCTGACCAACCAAGCATCCAATCCTCACTAATTGGAGACGAGATGGGAGGCGTTGTTTTAGTGTAAGATGACCTTTGACCGCCTGCATTCTCAGTATGACGTTAGTTAGCAAAAGGGATGGAAGCGCTCCCCGGTTTGCAAGTTTGGAGGAAGATAAAAGTGAAAAAGTGGGCACCACTGAGCTTATTTTGAAGACTTTGTAAAGTATATTAGCGGGAGAAAGGGTACTGAAATTCAAGGCAGTGTTAGGAAAAAGGACGTTTTTTTTGTATGTGAAATAGCATAACATACTACAGTACAATCTCAGCAGCTATGAATAAAGATGTGTTCCCAGTGTGGCAGGATCTGGGGATCAATTGCATTGTGATCCAACAGAGGCAGATGCACCGAATCGACGAGTCTCATATATTTCGTTTGCATGTCATATTTACACCGGTACGTGCGTGATGGTCTTCACGCCGTGGAGACTTGTGGCACAATGTCACCTGACAGCCACATCACACACAAACACACATCATATTGCTGGTCTAGATTAGGATGTGCGGGTCAACTGAGTTCACATTGGCTTCACTCAACCGAACCACAGTTTATAACTTATGACTCAACTGGTCCCCATCCACATCCTGAAAAGGCTCCAACAGCTCCCCCTCTTGCATAGCCTTAGTAAAATGATATAGTCCCTCATACTGTGCAGCACTAGAGACATAAAAAAACCTATAATGTAGTGGTTAGCTCTGACGGCTGATTACGGGGCTTTACTTTGGGAAAATAGAGCTGCTTGTTTATTTAGTATGTTGGTCAAACTTGATCAAATATCACGATGCGATTCATCGTCCAACCGTTTTCCCGAGCTCGTGTGAAAGTCCACGTGCAAGCGAGGAGCACACGAGCACACACATGGTGTAAAGTCATTCCTGCAGACGAGCTGCTTGGCAGGAGACATGAGCGGGACCGTGAGACACCCACAGCATGCAGTCCAGCCGGAGACGCTTCTACGCAGGACAAAAACATTAGCTGATCTTTAATGACTCAACCGGATCCGGACTGGAATTATCACGCTGGCCATGTCCGTCTTTGCGGCGGAAGCCATGTAGTTTGCGTGTGATAGATGGCGCACGGCGACTGGGCTTGTGTGTAGGATATTAAATCACCCAGCAATATTAACCTTAAGAGTGTACCACAGATTCCATAATAATGGAGGACAGGTACCAGAGCATGGATCTGTCTTTCATGCTGTTGACTCCTCCGAGGTGTGACATACGTTTCACTACAAAAACATGAATGTGAAGCAGAGGAAGAGACGGACAGAGCTGACTGGAGGTTGTTTCAGGCCACCAGTGAAATTTAAGGTGAAACTAAAAGCAGACATTAACCCCTTTACGTCAGCTAAAAGGGGACTTGTCCGGGGATTTTTGGGGGGTTATCTACGGGGCCTATCGATCTACAAAATATGAAACAAGCACAACCTGGATGAGAAAACATGTGATCCTGATGCAAACATGTGAACAAGCCGTCCTGTGTGACGCTCATCCAAAGCAGCCTTGTGGCGACCTCCAGTGCCGCTGGCTGAGCCCGATGAGGAAGTGCATCAAAAGTTGCATTCTCCTTGATAACCATCAGGAAACTCTGTACTGTACTGTAAACAGTAGACAAGATGGCGAAGGTCGCAATTCAAGACAGTGATGGCTAAATGGCCAAACTTGCTGTCCACCAACCAATGGGTGACGTTACGATGACTACGTGCCCTTCTCACATACAGTCTGTGGGGGTAACGCGCCGTATTTTCATCGTAAGCCAAGCTGAACAGTCCAGGCTTTTTCGGCAGACGGGCTAAAGGAGACCGGCGCTTACACAAAGAGTTTCAGAAAAGGTGTGTCATACAATGTTGCCGGTTGACAAAATTGCCTGTTGCCACTCACCGAACGTCATTTTGCTGCTGAGGTTTCTTCTGCCCAACCAGATTCACCGTTCTTGCTTGGATAGGCTTCTCTTCTCTGAAAAACACGCAGAAAATATTAAAGACTCCTTGTTTTTGAACAGTATGACACTGACTTTCTGTCTCTTTCATGTTAATAGATATTCAAAATAGCTGAATATGAGCCAGACTAGTCGGTCCAGACTGCCCAGTTAGCTCTGGGTTTAAGTTTGAATAGCCTAAGCTTCCTTATGAGCTTCAAATGTCAATATTCATATCCATATCTTGGGCAATAAGGCTCTTGTTGGCTCTGAACAGTGAATTGTTAATGAATTGTAGCGTGTCATGATTTAAAAGCACCACAGCTCAGTTCAGCTATTTTGCATTGCCCGAGTTTGAGAGCCGTTATACTCGCTCATCCAAACCGGACAGACGAGAAAATGACAAAGAATAAAAACTGAAGCGCTTATTTAGACGGTCGCTGAGATGTCGCGGGCACCGTTAGGCATCAACGACAGACCTGAGACAAAAAAACGACAGGCTTTCGATACGTCAATTGACACATTCACAGTGGGATTGGAAACCCCCTCATCCATAAACATGAGCGTGATCAGATAGAACACGGAGGGAACTCAGGAGAGAAATCCCCGGCAACGCCCCCGCTGTCTAAAACAAATATGTCTTTTTCATCGCCAACACTGTGAGAACCCCTCTCATTATGAGACACACTCTGCACTTAAGGAAAAGTTGAAATGTCTTTGTTCCTCATGGATTCTGACCACGCAAAGTAGCAAATATGGTAAAAGTGACGTCTTCGGATTAAACGGTTAAAAGTTATGCGACATGTTCCTTATGTTATGTCATTTTTTAAGTTAGTTTAGACTTACATATAACTGGTTTGGTGTCTGATAACTACTTAAAAAAAGGACAAAGGCCAGTAGCTCATGTGTTTTTCTGATATCATCTAAGTATCCCACAATTTTTTAATTCCTAATCTTGCTGCAGAGTTTCACTCGTCCGTTGGTTTCCATCCACTTGATATGCAGATTGATTGGAAAAGTCAATGAGCTCACACGGATAACGCCAAATAACAAAGGAAATGCTGACGATGGCATACACAAATGTCAGCACCTTTTTGCTAAATTTGCTAATCCATTTTCATATTGTGGGAAAATGAATGGGAGCATAAGGGTGTGGGAAAATGTAGTAAAAAATCACTCAAGTGGCTTAATCTTTGTTTACAATATCGTTATCTGTGACATTAAAATCCATGTGATTCGAGAGCTCTCAGCACCAAAACTGACCTGCTTGTGCAGAACCGCATACAATCTTTTTTGGCACTTCCTTCAGCGTTTCAACTTCCCCTCAAAACTGTTATAGTTAAAGGGGCACGGCAACATATGCATAAAAAAGGTTTGTAAATATTCAACTTGAACAGCAGGATCTGCATTTATTACCGTCCGCGTAACATCCGGGAGAGCAGCTCTTTCTTTTTGGTGCAACCTGAGCCATTGTGTGCTAAAATCTATGTTATTTTGGTAAATTGATACGGTATCGGGAAACATACCAATGCAAGTGTGTCAATATTTCATCCCTACTGCATCATTAGATTTCCTACACAGAGGTATTGGAAATAATATTAGTTCCAAAGTCCCAAACAGCTAATGTGCCAAAACTTTCTTCGGGTCCCTAAAGTTCTGGTTTATTTATTCGCAGAGATTCAACTCTTGAATTTGTTTGATTTTTTGAGATGTTTCTCAGCTGTCTGGAGTTTGTCCACATACATAAAGTTCACACTATTGATTTTATTGAATCATGATTTAGCGTTTCGTATAGATCACGCCTCAGCATGTCCCCTGCAGGAAGGAGCACGTCTTGCTCATCTAGTTGAGGACACAACAGATGCAAGCAGCAGACGCCCAAATAAACTTGAGCCTTTGCTACGGCTGTAAATGTGTACTATCACATACACTCACAGTACACTTGTGTAGAGTGTGGTTTGTGTTTGTGCCCGTTAGTTTATTTATTTGTTTTATTTCATATTCTTCTATTTTATATTCTTCTTTATTTTATTGTATATTTGATTCTAAATTATATTTTTAGCACTGTGTTTATTTGCGCTTGTTTATGCATCACCCGCGTGTCAAATTCCTTGTAGATGTCCAACATACTTTGGCAATACATTTTCCTGATTCCTGAATTCCTGATTCATTCCAGAAAGAAATGTTGATATTAAAAATAAAGGGACATCCATAATCGAAAAAACACCTTTTTTCCCTTAACTGTTTGACAGTTTTGATTCTTTTGGATGAGCTTCCTAGTTTTGGTGATTCAGGTTGTATTTATTTCAACCTTCTCTCCCACATGGTGGAACCAGGTAGCGCTCGAGTTCTGGTGGTCAAAGCGCCAAAATCAGTCATTTATAAAGAAAATCCACATTACATTATTATATATTACACAATTACATTGCACTATTTTTACCAAATTGCAATGTGATGCAAAAACGTACATCCACTGAGTTTCCAGTTGCAGGGCCAAAAATGCATCAGTTCAGTGCAGTGACCTGTTTGATCACATATGCTTGGCTGTATGAATAAAAATGCCCACATCTTTCAGGGGAACTCTTATCTCTCTAATGCAGTGAGGGAACGCTACTCATTAATGCTTCGTTATGTGGCTGTAGGGACGAGCTTCACTGTACTCTGGTCCTCTACTTTCCATTTATGTAACTGGGATTTAAGGCCTTTAAAATGAAGGGAGGTCATTTACAGTTTATCCATCTGTCTTTGTGAAAATCACACGCCACTTTACCTCATGATGATTACAGTCGGGACGCCTCAATTCACCAGTCTATCATTGGCGCTGTGGCCGTACACCAACGGGGCGTTGTGTGCACACATGCGCTGTGATCCTGCATGCTTTAACAGCTGATGGTGAGCGTAAGAGCAGAGCTTTCTCTGCCTCTCTGCATTACAACCCACACGGCCCCACTGCTAGTACACTCACCATGCATGTATTAGTCAACCAGTGCAGTGCAGATCGTAAAGACACGCACACGCACACCACTTTGCCATGGCAATCTCCATCCAAACAGGGATGAGAGGGAGCGGGGGGGCGGACGACACAGAAGCCAATATAGGTTATGAGATGCATGTGCTGACGGCCTGCCTTTATTTTTGCAGCCCTTACAGTGCGATATATGAGTCAATCCACGGCCTCGCTGCTGAAAATGATGCATAGCCACTTAGAGCGGGAGCTCATGTGTTGGACATTTCCTTCTTTTAGATGCAATGAATCGATCTTCCTGTTTCCAGCGCTGGGCTATCAGTCCGGCACACACGGAGGCTTAAAATAGAACAGGGACGTAAAAAAGCTAGAGGAGCGCCTCGCTTAGGTGGGTTCGGTCTACATCTTTCTATCTGCCCCGTCTGCACGTGCTGCTCCAATGCAGAAAACGAAAGGGAACGCATCGACTTCTCTGGATCCTGAAAGGAAGCGGGGGCGGCCGGATCTGGGTCCGTTTTTGCAACTGATTCGGAGGTGACAAATAAAATCTGTAGGAGGTCTCTTTGCATGCATGTATGGAGGAGGATGCACACCGTGGATATAAGTCACTCCTGATGCAAAATGACATTACACACACAGCACACCCCTCCTCCCCCTTATAGGCCTACTAGTTCTATAACAGCCTGTGCGATTGCTCTCCTGCAAGAGCACTGGCCTACATACAGCGCATACGGCTGAGAAAAAGGCTCAACCGCACCCCAGGAGCTGAAGACAGCAGCTGTTGAGATTGGATGCTGTACAGATAAAAGGCAACAGGGAGGGTTCTACTACTTCCACTGCACCCTCAAAGCCTTCAGTGAGCCGGAAAGGTTTTTCCGCCGCTGCATCGGTAAAAATGAAAAATTCCCAGTGAAAAAGTCCGAGCCCTCGCCGGGCTGGACCCCGGGCCGATTGTGTGAACAACTTGCGGTGACATTAAGAGAGACAGGTGCACACTAGGAATCGGAGTGGAGCGTGATGCCACCGATGGGTGACACGCCCCTTTTAACCTTCCCACTATCCTCTCCTTCCTCTCCTCCCGAGCAAAACTGCACCTGACCCACGGCCGGCGCCCGCCTCTCTCTATCTGTGAGCATCTGTAAAAGACGGTGTGACCTGATCTACACTGCTGCCACAACTGTAGCCTGCACGGGGCAGGTAGTGAGTGAGAGGATGAATGAGGGGGGCTGCAGGATGTAAACTCAACACATGGACTACACACATGCATGGTCAGATACAGTGGAGTGATGCTGAAAACGCCCATCGTACAAGTGAGAACGGAAGTGGATTTTCAGAACGGAATTAGTACAAGGCCCAGTCTCTCTCACACACAAAAATACACACACACACACACACACACACACACACACACACACACACACACACACACACACACACTCGTGCACACACTTCCCCTCTCTCTCTCTTACTTTGTCATGGCCTCCTCCTTCGCCTCTTCCTCCCGCTGCCGAGCCAGCACAGCCATGATGATCTTCCTCTCGTCTTCCGTTAAATGGCTCAGGTCCGGTTCCGGCACGGCCGGGGCGACCGGGGGGCGCGGGCCGCCCCGAGGGCCCACCGAGGCGAACATCTTCTCCACCACCACCACCACCACCTTCCCGCCCGCCCTCCTCCTCCCTCCCCCTCCTGCTCTTCCTCCTCCTCGGTCGGGATCACCGATAGAAAACCCGCTGGCGGAGCCCACGGATCACGACATGGCCCACGGACCAAGCGGCGGTTGGAGCGACTGATGCGGAGTTCCCATGGCGGCGGCGGCGGGGGGCACCCAGGGCGGCGGCGGCGGCGCTAGCTGCGGCAGTAGTAGCGGCGGTGACGGCAGCGGCGGCGGCGGCGGCGGCGGCGGCGGTGGTGGCGCTCCGGTTCCCGCGTTGGCCCGCTTTCAGCGTCCCGTTGTCCCTCTCGCTGCTCCGCTGTCTTCTCCCCCCACCGCACTCCCGCCGCCGGCCCGCCCGCCTCTCCCCTCCGCCACCTCCGTCTTACGGGGAGAAACAGGTCTCCGGCGTTCGGTCGGGATGGATGTACACCACGATATCACCCTCCATCAGTTTTTCCGGTCTTCACAAAAACGGCTAACTGACAGTGGGGGTACAGTGGCGGGGGGGGAGGGGGGGTGGGGTGTCCTCTGAAGGCGGCTCAGGTCTCCGCTCGGTCCGGTGGCCCAGCTGCGTGGCTGCGGGGCGAGGCGGCGACTTCTTGTTGTGCAGCGCCGCCGCGGATGCTGATGCTGATGCTGATGCTGCTGTCAGGGAGACGGAACCGTCAATGGGACCGCAGCCCCTCAAGCGCGTTCACTTCTCCTGCGGCGGGAGCGCGCGGCTCTCATTTGAGAATGGGGGGCTCCACTCACCGTTAAGATGCGCGCTCCCGGCAGCGCACGAGCACACTTAGGAAATAAAAGGTTCCTCGATGGTGCATTGTGGGATTTGTAGGACGTTTTTTGAAAAGAAGAGTCCCTCGGGCGCAATCATCACAGGATATGCACAAATATGCACGGATCTATTCTTAATTATGATATATTTTGCTTCTTAGCGGAAAGAAAAACTCCACAATTATAAGTTTATTTACCACTTTGTCAATTAGGGTTTGGATTTATCCTAAATTGACCAAAAGATTGTGGAAGGGGTGATCTCTTTTTTATTTTCATTTGTTTTACCTAATTCACCTCTTGTGTAAAACATCTGTAATTTTACATCTTTTGAAGATTTTCTCTAAATCAGTGCGGCTCTGATTCAGAAAGCCCTACTTTAGTGACTGATCACAGTATTTTTATGTTTGGAGTGATATAAAAGACACAAAAAATGTGTTACCTTTCTTTATCCGAACGTTCAGATTTTAGTTTGATGAGGTTTACAACATCTGCATTAACAGATATTTCTAGAAAGAGAAATTTCCTTTTGTCCCCGAATTTCAATTTCAAATTCAATCCCGGCTTTTAGCATTTATTCTCATTATTAACGCAATGGAATTAAGAATGAAAAATAATTTGCGTCTGCTAGATTTAAAATTTAAAGACACATTCATTGCCTCCACACAACTCTCAACATGGCCAAACCAAAACAGTGCTGCCAGCGCAAATAACGGCAACAATGCTGACAGACCTTCCCGCTTATAGTGCTCACCCTCTGGTTAACCTCTGTTAACCAGAGGGTGAGCACTAAGCTTCTGTGATGACTCCATCCTTCCATGTCGGGTTATCGGCCCGTCTCGTTTGTTTGATGCTACATACTACAAATGTATTCTCGTAATACAGAACTTGTTGTTAGAGTATGCCGAAGCGCAATAGAACAATAGTAGAACCAAGATAAAACTAAAATGTTGCGATAAACAAAAGGAAAACATGCAAAATGTTAAATGATAAGGGAATGAATATGAAACCTTGAAAATGATACTTAAAAGGAAGTGCAGGCATAGTGAAAAGGTCAAAATAAACTGGCATTTGCAACATGAAAGAAATAGTGAGTGAAAAAATGAAGAACCCTTTTCTAGTATGAAACGCTTTGCAGTGAGAGTGTTGGCTCCCTCCTCCTCCTCCCCCTCCACCCCCTCCTCTTCCTCCTCCTCCTCCCCTCTCCCTCCAATCATTGCGTGTTAGGATGACGCGCATCCCCCTTTTTTTCTCCGTCCTCCCCCCTGCCCTCCCTCTTTCTCTCCCTCCATTCCTTCCTTCTGTCCTTCCTCCTTATGCATCCTTCCAGCACACACACACACACACACACACACACACACACACACACACACACACACACACACACACACACACACACACACACACACACACACTACTTCCTCCTGCTGAAAAACAATCTGAATGGAGCCGGGGGTTTACCACACACAGCCGTGCACATGTATGCCTATAGGGTGACATTTACAGTATGTCAGCGTACAACGTTTTAATCACGGGCCGTGTGGAGAGGGGGCCCCCCAAAACATACAATTGACACACACAGTGCGCCACGTGTAAATCAAACAAACCGTATCAGACTAGATAATTAATTGTGTCACAGTCATCTATATTTAGAAACAAATATGCTTTAGTGAACTATTTTTAGTCAGCAAATCTAGATTTGGCAAAAGCCTGTTGTTCGAAATGCAGACCAGCATTTGGGTTAGAAACTGATAACCTTTAATTATTTGGATCGTGTGCACTAAAACCAGGCTTTTTTACAGATGTATAACCCTTCGACGGACAACGACCCCCGATTGCCCCGTAAGGCCCAGGTCAACCAGTGTCGCTGTAAGTTCACAGAAAAGCCTGCAGGAGCATGAACAGGCTTAGCCCAAACCCTTCGTAGTCGTCATCATCATTATCCGTGTCTCATAACAAACCGACAAACGATTCCTCGATTATTTCTGCGGGCACGCAACAAACCACAAATGCTTGACTTGTTCAACAGCTTTAGGTTCTTATTTAGGGCAGCCGTGCTCAGGGTGAGTGGCCAACACTTCACACATGCAACTACAGATTTTTCATTTATAATTATTGACTTCATTTTTGAATAAATCCTATCTTTCAAGATTGCCTCAAACTGTTCCTTTTCACGGCAGGTAGTTCCAACATAAAGGCATCCGGCGTGTTTCACCAACTTGGTCACAACACCCTGGAGCCATTTTACTGGGCTGTTATACATTCACATTTCTACTTAACTATCAACAAAAAAGGGGACAATCCCAAATTTAGCAATCCTAGAACAAACCCTAGGCCCTATATCGAATGCACATTTCAGCTGGGGAAGAGAAAAAATATTTGAGTGAGAATAAATAAGCCTGCTTAATACAAATAAGCAAGCATTTAACCTGAGCTCATTAATCTCAGTGTACTAGCGCCCTGCATGTTAGTTTGTACCAGTGATGTGTCGTTCGTGAACGATTCGTTCATTTTGAACGAGTCCTCTCAAAGAGAGATTTGTTCATTTTGTCGTGGCTGCGCATTGGGACTGTTGCATAGGCCCAGTCAAGGAAACAGAAATGATTTGTTCATTGATTTGTTCATTTCCAGACTGGGTACTGAGCCCATGCAGGACACGTGAAAAATGATCCAAAGAAAAAAGATGAACGAATCATTGATCATTGACGATTCGTTCATCTGCCCGGTACAAGTCTTTGGATCATTTTTCACGTGTCCTGCATATGAGTCTCAGAAGAGGAAACAGAAAGGGTTTGTTTGCCTTCTTCACTTTCGCGTGACTAGGTTTAGTAAGATGTGAATGATTCGGCAAGGCGTAACCACGCATTCTTTGGGTGTAGGGGAGACGAACTTCAGCAGCTGGTGAGGAGAGACAGAGACTTTTCTACATCCTCCGTTTTGTGCTTCACGGAGACGTGGCTTTGGTGGATCGATACCGGACTCCGCGCTCCAGCTGGCGGGCTTCCAGCTGCTCAGAGCGGACCGCGACACGGAGCTCTCCGGCAAGACGAAGGGTGGAGGTAATCTGCTTCTACTCCAACGCTGTTCTCCTTCGTTTGCTTCATTCATCCTGGTCGGTGTTTACACGCCGACGCCGGGAATCGTGCACGATGCGCAGCGGACACTCGCTGACCCTTAGTTATTAACAAAGCAAATCTCAGCCATGAACTTCCCAAGTACAAACAGTTCATTAAATGCCCCACCAGAGAGGAGAACCCGCCGGATCACTGTTACACCACACCACTACATGCACTAACCCCGCCCGTTGAAATAAACGAATGACTCGAACAAAGATTCGTTCGTTTTAATGAACGAGATTCAAAGAACCGAGTCAGTAAAACGATCCGGTCTTCCCATCCCTGGTTTGTATTTTATTTTGAAAGTGTGGTGTCCCGGAAGCTCTTTCTCGTCGCCGGGCTCGCGTCGGACTGACGCAGCTAGCGAGTACTGCTCGTCATTTCTCAGGGTAAGCAGGTGCACGAGACATTTCACAGTGCGATTGTTTGAGTCCCGCGTTGAGTTTTACACGTCAAGTTAACGTTTTATTTGGTGACGGCGCGCGGTCACGTGACGGGTTCTAGCCACGGAGCTCGCTTCACGTGGCCCAGCCGTTTCAAGTCTCACATTGCCCACAAGGTGTGATATTAAAACCTGCTCACTCACGAGCATTTGAAAGATTCTCTCTAGCAAACTGTCGAGTTTTTATAAAGGGCTCTTAAACTCATTTGGGCATTTGTGTGAACACATTGTCCGTGAGGTATCATGTCTGCAGACTTTGCCCACGGTCAATACCTATGATTTATAGATCTGTGATGTAACCATGCTGATTAGTGCAGGTGTTACGTGCCTACTGGTTTTTGAATCTACTGGTTTGTCTACGCGTGCGTGTTCGTTTTCCCCCCTACAGCGGCAGATGTTGTCTGCCTCAGTCACCTGATTCGTCACACATTCGCAAACATATTGCTGAAAATGTTCAAAAGTCATCACATATCCATTGCAGCGATTACGATCGTATAAGTGAGCACTACGTCACTGCCACGTATGAAGAAATACATTGAGGAAAATAGATTTATTAAAAGATCGCCTCAACCGGCATTTGATCCAACCGCGAGCAAAATGACAAAACGCTACAAGACGGACGCGCTACGCCGTCGGCCACTCGAGCTCACTAGTATCGCCGCTGTTTCCTGTACTTGTCATCAAATTGTACATCGGCAGTGGCTAGAAAACCATTTGGTTCAGAGGGAACCAAGACCACTGGTTTTGGTGGCGTATCGTTCAACACTCCCAAACATGTGTATCGATACCTTTTCGCGAGGCTGCAGCTTTCCACCACCGACTCATTTGGACAAAAGGGGGGATTCTGTTCGGACGGTCATCGTGCATCACAGCCACTTAAGAAAGTCATTTAAGAAAATATAGATTAAAATATATTTTAATGAAAGATCGCCACAACCTGGATTCGAACCGTGTCGAACAAAACAACATGTTTCGGGACGTCTGCTCTAAGCGGTCGGCCACTCGGGCTTGATAGTTATTGTTGAAAGTTTCCTCATTATTTTATTAAATTGTATACAGTTGTAAACCTCTTGGTTCAGAGGGAACCAAGACAACTGGTTTTTGATGGCGTGTTGTGGAACACTTCCAAACATGTGTGTTGGTGCTTTTTTGCGATGCTTGATACAGTTATTTACACATTACATCCACACCGTTAAAAAAGTGCTTTACAGGCGTGAAATCCGAAAATACACCGGGGATTAAGCAATCACGTTAATTAGCAACATCAGTATGAAGGGAGAATTGCGAAGTTGGTGTAGAAATATATCTCGAAAAGCTATAGAACAAGAGCACCGATGGACCCTCCCAAAGTGAACGATTTTTTTTGTCATGAATTTAGATGTTATTGAGAAAGTAATCATACTTGTGTGCTAGAAAACCTGACAGAACTATGTAGAGAATGTGGGGATGCACAGCAAAGTCCAGGGACAAAGGTCATAGGTGAGATTAAACTGACAGTTCTGTAATCTTACAAATATAATATATTACTCATCAATGCTTCTTCTTAGATCCAGTGTACAACATCTGAACATCTCCTTCCCATTGGCAAAACAGAGACAATCCAATCAACAAGGGTGCTGATGAACGAATGCGTTTCCTCCGAGCGAACCCCCCCTGACTACGTCTCACCTCTGATAATCATCTTGCTGAAAACAGGGTGTCCTAAAACATTAGTCTTATCTGGGTGGAATTGAAAGGGTCTAAATACAGAGAAGTCTAACATTACAAACAGGGAGATAAGTCATATTGTAAAAGTAATAATACGGTGGAAATTTGCCATCACTGCTGCCACTGTCCTGCACCTACTGCCTGCCAGCCTCAGTCTTTTGTGCTTTGTCTCTTCACAGGTCACCAGGGATCATGGGTCTATCTGGACCCTGGTCTTGCGTCTGTGGTTCTGTGCATTGACTGTTTTGTAGCTCTTATGATGATCATTCTGTAGACTATTGCACTTCTGTCCATCTTGGGAGAAGGATCCCTCTGGGTTTGCTCTCCAACAGGTTTCTTCCTCTTTTCTCTGTTAAAAGGGTTTTAGGGGAATTTTTCCTGTTTCGATGTGAGAGTCCTGGGACAGAGGATGTCGTATAGATTGTAAAGCCCTCTAATGCTAAAATTTGTTTTTGGGATGGACAAAATAAATGTAATCCAATTATAATTGCTCCTGAGTTTTTGCTCTTGTAGATATTCAGGCATGGTTATTTTTTTATTTTTTTGCAAATTGTGAGCCATCAAACAATTACTTATAAAACGATTAAGGCCTTAAGGTTTCTACAAAAACTAATCAAGCAGTGTTTACATTGGCTGTAAATCATGACGTTCATTTTGTGGATAGAACATTACTAATATTACATCCTTCTGTGCTTAGTGTTAATAATTATTGAGTATTTTCACAGTATAAAGCATCATGAAAAAGCACCGATAAAGTGTTCAACGATACGCTACCAAAACCAGTGGTCTTGGTTCCCTCTGAACCAAATGGTTTTCTAGCCACTGCCGATGTACAATTTGATGACAAGTACAGGAAACAGCGGCGATATTAGTGAGCTTGAGTGGCCGACCCCGTAGCGCGTCCGTCTTGTAACGTTTTGTCATTTTGCTCGCGGGGGATCAAATGCAGGTTGCGGCGATCTTTTAATAAATCTATTTTCTTCAATGTATCTCTTCATACGTGGCAGTGACGTAGTGCTCACTTATACGATCGTAATCGCTGCAATGGATACGTGATGACTTTTGAACATTTTCAGCAATATGTTTGCGAATGTGTGACGAATCAGGTGACTGAGGCAGACAACATCTGCCGCTGTAGGGGGGAAACGAACACGCACGCGTAGACAAACCAGTAGATTCAAAAACCAGTAGGCACGTAACACCGGCATGTAACTGTTAACTAGGGGTGTGAAGAAAAGCATCTTGGTTGAGCGCAGAATATTACTTTTATACAGAAACATTAAGGATTGAAGGTGTAACATGGGATAAGATATATGAGATTATACTACACAGATTTATTAATCTGCCATTCAACTGATTAGAAAATGACCAGCAAGTATCTAAGCGGCATGATGATAACGCACAATTCCTTGCAGCAGTGTCTGACAGTCCAGAGCAGCCATTGCAGGGGCTGTACATGTATTAAATCACGATATGTTTAAATCACAGCAACCACCATCATTTTGTGAAACCCAAGCTCTCCTCCCCAGGTGATTGACATGTTTCCGGTCGTGGTGGTGCAAGGAGGGGCGGGTCACATCCCGAAAGAGCGGTCGGAGAATTCCAGGGCGGGGGTGTGCTCGGCGGCCCGAGCCGGGTACGCCGTCCTCCGGCGGGGAGGCAGCAGCATGGACGCTGTGGTGGAGGCTGTGAGCCAGCTGGAGAACAACCCCTTCTTCAACGCAGGTGGTGTAAGAACGTTCCAAACAGACGCAGCCGGACGGCTTCTCTTCCTCAGTCTGAATGTTTTGCTCCGCTGTTCTTGTTTTGTGTGTGTTTGTTTTTCATGGACATATGGTAGCATTCCTCTGTCAAACACTTATTTCAGCTCAGTTATTGCAGCTTAACTATCGGACACTGTGTCCAACACTTTGGTCCAAGTCAATGTTTCCCGAACAATGTCCAGTCCGAGATATGTCCTGATTGCTGACTCGTGATCGGCTCCCTGCAAGCTGCAGTTTAATGTGCGGCGTGTTGACGTGCTGCTTTGTTCAATAGATTGGATGATAGTAACGGCCAACGTGTCATATCTGGTTTTGTCCATTGACAAAATTTTTGGAAAAATGGTCGTACGACCAAGACGACTTGTGTCTCTTTTTTCTAGGCACAGGACTCTTATTGTTGGTGGCTTGTTCATCAGAGTTGAGTTCTGAGGAGCGTTTCTTATCTTGTTTTAAGGTGTTCCTCCTAAAAGCAACACACTAACGAAATAGAACAGCTGCAAAACTTGAGCTCAATGAAAATTGATCACATATTTTTTCAGTGAATATTCCACATTATATCCCATGTAAAAACCTACACTTCACATCCCAAATAAAAGAAATCCTTTTCAAAACGCAGTAAGGTTCTTAAATATATAAATATATTGCTTCTCAGAAAGGGATTTGGTAGGAAAAATACTACTGCATCAAGCCGCCCATAAGTAAGTAAGTAAGTAAAACATTGATAGTATTTCATTATAAATTTATAAATTGTCTCCCTCCAGATATTTCATTAATGAGCCCTTTAACTTTCCCTTTTACTATATAGTGACCTCATATAGACAGTGCAAAATAAAATTAAACCCAACTTGAAGACAGCCTTTTATATCTTATGGACCCTTTCAGATGATCTTTTAACTTGAAGGTTGCGGGTCGGTGCTGAATATCAGAGGAGAGGTGGAGATGGACGCCATCGTGATGGACGGGAAAAGACTGGACAGTGGCGCCGTGTCTGCTGTACGCAACATAGCCAACCCCATCCAGCTAGCGAGGCTGGTCATGGACAAGGTGCGTACATTTAAATCTGGGATGGAAACTATACAAACAAATAATATGCACTTCATCTTGTTGGAAAATGATCCACTGAAGAAGTGATCTTTAAAAACATCAACTCTGTTCTTTTGAAGGGCAAATGGATTCTGTGACACTTACACATGCATGTGTTTCCTAGATGGCGACCTTTGACCTTCTCTCTTTCAGACGAGTCACACGTGTCTGACGGCAGAGGGGGCCAATCGGTTCGCTCGGTCCATGGGGGTGTCAGAGGTGCCCCCCGAGTCCCTCATCACCGACTACTCCCGCATGCGCTGGAAAGAGAACCTGGCACCCGGCGCCAACCCCGTGGACAGCCAAATGTGAGGCTCGCGTATTCCACTTGTGACAATATGCGGCTCTGTTGACGTTCTCTGTTGCACCGGTGCCTTTTCCACTACGTTCAGATACTATACTTACTTTTGCATCCACGACAGTCGCAAGAACCTGTCCAAACATTTACAGACATTTGTAGAAGCTCTGACAAGCCTCAATTCTCTTCTCCGCTGTCGGACAAAGAAACCGCACGGCCATCGATACTTTAACTGTGTCTCTGAAGACCAGCTGACCAAACACAAAGCATGCTGGGACGGAAGTGGGGGGTCGGATAGGACACACCCGGGGTTCCTCGATGGAATCCCCTCATTCCTCGTCTCCTCGGAGGCACACTTAAAGGGCCGGAACGTCCAAATTGATGGCAGGTTCTCCCAAATGTGACAAAAAGGCCGGGGGGGCGGGGGGTCATTTGCTTAGCTGAACAAAAAGCCCCACGGATTCACCTCGACGTAATAAAATGGGCTACTTGTGATCTTTGGAATGAATAGTTCAGCTGAATGGTCTAAATGTGTTTTTTAAACCTACGAACAGAGATGAGAAATAAAAGAAGCGAGACCGGTGTTTCTCAACCTGGTTTGGAGCTGGTTTAACTCGGTTGCCAGGTTACCGCATATAACCAGTCACTGTTTATTCGCATAGATTGAAGTCAGTCTGTGTTAATAGGTAATTTCCCGTCTTTGTTGCCGTGCAGGGGGAAGATGGGCACCGTCGGAGCCGTGGCTGTCGACGCCGAGGGTAACGTGGCCTGTGCGACCTCCACCGGTGGGATGCTCAACAAGATGGAGGGACGGGTGGGCGACACGCCCTGCATAGGTCAGCCCTCGCCCGCCGTCTGTGCCATACATGAGAGACCTTTTTTAAATCAAGGGGGGCTTCCACTTGTCAGCCGGTGGGACGCAGGTCAATTTATACAATTGAAGGTGAGGCTTTGTTATGGTTTAGAGCTTTTGTTTTGGAAGCACCTATTTTAATTTGATCTATTCGTGGCTACGTAAGATTAACTGTTATGTGGGAATTGTGAAACTAAGTGCACAAAGCCGGAGACGTAAATTAATACACATTGATCGCAATTGTATTTTATAATTTCAAGTTCTCTTGTTCTTCGGTCCATTCTTTTTCTTTTTTTTTGGTCTCTTTCTGCCGATCCCTAAGTATAAGCCGCAAAATGTACTGTAATTTCCAACTCTCTAATGAAAGAAAAGTCACTGGGAATCTGACCCAAGCGTTTCTCTCCCATCTAGTGACACTAATGTGTAACTACATCATTTTACCAGCCGCCACTCATCCTATGCAAAGAACGGTTGTGGGCAAAATAATGTAAAAAGTCAAATTGTGACTGCGTGCAGGAAGCGGAGGCTTCGCTGACAACCAGGTGGGAGCCGTGTCGACCACAGGCCACGGAGAATCTATCGTGAAGGTCACTCTAGCCAGACTCATCCTGTTCCACGTGGAGCAAGGTAACACACACACACACACACACACACACACAGTGTTTCTGCAGTGAGACCTGGTGTCACAGACGGTGTTCTGGATGTTGCATAGTTACTTACTGTGTTCTCAGGTCAGTCGGTGGAGGCTGCCAGTGATTTAGGCCTGGCCTACATGAAGTCCAGGGTCGGTGGGCTGGGCGGGGTGGTGACCGTGGACCCTCAGGGCCACTGGGCGACTCGCTTCTCCACCCGGCAGATGGCCTGGGCTGCAGCCCAGAAGGACACCCTGCACTACGGCCTGTACACCGGGGAGCACTTGACCCAGAGCCTCGGGGACCCCCTCTGACAAGAGATGCCCACCCCTGTATTCCTAGGACTCGACCAATCCGGCTTATTAGTGCTTTGGCTAAACAATCCTCTTGGTGTTGGTTGATATAAGGGAGAAGAAACATACAGACAGGCTTTACCGGTAAGGGCCCATGATGCAATGATATCAGACACGATGGCGTCCGGACCGATCAGGGTTTTATCAACACTCTAACTTACACAAGCACAAAATGTCTAAAGAGCTTCAGTTACTTAAACCAGAACTGTCTACTCTTTATCAAGAATTGTCAATAGAACTAAAGTGACTTTATTGAAAACTGTCTAGACTAAAGTTAGTTTTATTAGAACTGAAAGTATTTTACTATAAACTTGTTTTTTTAGTTTGTATAGTTCAATAGTTCATCAGAATTGTCCTACCTGGACCACTAAGTATTGACACCGCCGTGTATGAAAATCGTAGCCCAGATTCCTATTATCACTTAGGTTGTGAGGACATTTGACAGATGATTTAATAGATATTTTATTTGTTTGTAAAATAGAAATGTATGTTAATGTTTAATGAAAGTAAATTGATCATCTATAAATGTATCAGTTGTTTTTACACTAGAAAACATTTTCAAATTAAATGAAAGAAATGTTTGTATTGCAAGTATGATTTTCAAATGAACTTTTGACAAACTATTTCCTTTACAACAAAAGACTTGTTTCTGGTCTGATTACATCTCCATGTTGTGTAACAAAACCGTGTTCCATGTGATGCAAGAACGCAGCACGCACGTGATTTATCCGACCTCCATCCTTCCTACGTGTGAACCTGAGCCGGTGTTTGTGAATCGTTGCTGATCGGATGATGAAGCCGGAGCTTTGTGTTTAGAAAACACAGATTCTTCACGATGAATGCCCTCTAATCAGCGACCATTGTGAGTGTCACGCTTCATCTACCCGGAGAGCTTGTGTGTGGAGCTCTGGCTGCACGCGTTTCCCGCCCAGGTCCACTTGGTGGTGCTGTCGAAACACAGAGGCAGGGTGGTCCGGGGCAGGCGAGGGGGACTCAAGTTGTGGCCTTTTTGTTGCTTGTCCATCTTCGGCTGTAAAGGCAACAAAAAAACTATACTAAATACACTGTGCAACATGAAGAATAAATGAAGTAAACAGTAATTTGGTGATGCAGCAGACATGTGGCTAAATCACATATTGTAAAGTCGGTTCATTAATATCCAGAGATCATACTCAAAATGTGCCTGTGGTTTTAAAGCCTTGTGTCGTACTTCATCTGCTCTGACGTCCCTGTAGCTCGCCATCTCAACAGAATATCTGCGCGCTCTCATCTCTTGTGCGACACGCTGCCCAGATCAGTGAAATTGGACCCGCAGCTCCTCTCCTCCCTTTGCTTTGTCTCTCATCTGCCGTGTTTGCATTCTCACGCAAACCAAACACACATTTGCTTAGATCCGCAAATGCAGCCTCCCTGCACTCCCACGGTTTCCATCAGTGATATAAACTGTTTTGCTTGTAGATCATTGTCTTTTTCGAGAGATTGTTTTCTTCAATTATTTATGAAGGCTGGCCTGTTTGTTGTAGCCTGCTGGATTGATTAGAGGCAGCAGAGACCGTTAATATTGATATCCTTCATGAGATAAATGTGGAAATGTACATTTAGTAGATTTAATTAAAAAATATTATGACGGTGTCAATGTGGAAGCTCATGTGGAAGAATCACTTGCATTCTCTTCACTGACCAGCAGGGGGGATTTCTCTTGTTGCAAAGAAGTCCATAATACAAATACGTCTCTTGAGTTATTCTCTCAGTAACCGGCATAAACTGATGTTAGACGAGAATGAAACATGTTTAACACTACGAAAAAAGGTTTTGCCAATAATATAGTTGCTGTTCAAGTAATGATCTCAGCTATTAGACATAAGGCTTAAAGTCAAGCATAATCTTAGTATTATTGCTTATATTCAACCCTTACAAGAAATATAATTATAAATGGACGTTTTTCATAACCAAAAGCAAGAAGTATCTTGCGAGAACATGTTTGGGCCACATGTCTTGTCACTCAACCGTGATCACCATGGGAACAACAGATCTACTCTTTGTCACCGGACTGTTTGATCTAATGTGATCCAACTGTAAAGTCCTTTAGGGAACTAAGGGGAATATTCTCTGTAGGTCACACATCCCGCCTCTGCTTTGTGTGTCAACTGTCTCACTTGATCTGCACGTCCTCGAGGTGCTTTGAGTATAAACACTTCAGACAATTTAATCTGAACTCAGATCCTGATACCAGTAGGCTTCTGCTCATGTTTGTACCCTTAACAAAGCCATCATGAGGGTGGCGGTAAGATGCATCCAGCACAAATAGTACACTGCCATTTCAAGTTTAAGGAATGACATGTGTTTGTGTGTGAGTGTGTGTTCTTGTCCACACTGTACACTATCTGTGAGAGAAGCGCTGTCAAGACCGACTCTCCCCTCTATAAAGGGGCCGGTTCAGGGTTCGGGTTTGCGTTCACCCGTGGTTACCCAGACACCACGCAGCGCTCGGACAAAGGCCCCCCAACCCCCGGAGGCTGAAAGTGAGCCGCGGAGAGCGAACACATGGACCAACTTGTGTTGGGTTCACTTTAGACAGACAGCTTATTCTGCACGACTCCACAAGGTGTCCAATGTATGACGTGTAACACATATATTACGGCATCGAACACTGGACCCGGTTATATTCCACCCCAATGGCACGTAACTGTATCACCAGATTCCTAACAGCTGTAGAAGAAATGCAGGTGTTGATTCTGATTCAGGGTCGTAGTTTGATCCTGGCTCAGAGCTTACGCTATTTAAGTGTTTCCCCGTACATAAAGGCACTACGAGCCGGGAACGTCTGCTCATAAAAGGCGTAATACTGAGATGCTGTCAACTGATCCGTGGGGAATGAAGAGGACATCAGCATACAGTTGACCTCTGTTGACCTACAGTAGTCAGGAACGTGGAGGTCAATGCGACGTCTGCAAAGTGAGTTTAGGCCGAACCGTTGCTAACTGCTCTGCGGCTCTATGAAGGTTATGCACAAGACCTGCTGAGACACACCAGTGTTTTGAGGTGTATGGGTGCAATGTGTATTTATTTAAAAGTAGGTTTGGGTAAGAAAACAAATGTATATGCAATGTCTATGCAAAGGCACTAAAACACAGATCTTCACGCTATGTGTGTGTGTGTGTGTGTGTGTGTGTGTGTGTAATAGCCCTCTGACTCTGCAAGGTGAGATTTTGCTTCCGGCTTGGTCACGGGCTTGGTTAACCATAAGTAGATAACAGAGTAAAGTACCTCGAAGTGATTTTTTTGCTTTCGTTTCATGTAAAAAAAAATTACGTCATGTTGTATTTAAAGACAGTTGTCAAGCGGTGGATAAACTGTGGGTTTTAATAAACATTTCATAGTATATATAGTTTACACATGTACAAATTCCACTAACACGTCTTCCTTTTATTGTGAAAGGGACGCCCGGAAGCACGTGGCCGCTGTGGCTAATGATTCCGAGCTGACTTTCACACCGGTCACTGAGAAAAGGGGGCCGGACTCAGTCGACTCCGTCCAGCTTTCTCCCTACAAAACGTCCTCCGTGCACAATGTCAACCGGGACAGAAGAAAGAAGGCCCCGGAAAGAATATTCACCAAGTCTTTCGATTTCCCAAACTTTGACAGGGTGTCGTCGTCATCCAGCTCACCCTCCGGCCCGGAGGAGCCGCGCGGGACAAGTGGCTCGCATCCGCCGGAGACAAGAGTTACTTTCGCGACACGCGCCGACCTCTTCATATTTACGCCAGAGTTTGTCAAATGGTTGTGTGCTGCTATTTAGAATCGTCCACGCGCGTGAAACAGAGCGAAGATGGTCGGCCGCCTACAGCAGTCGCCGCGGGGGAAGAGCTCACGGTGAGTCGAGTCGCCTCCGGACTGGTTTCCGTTGTCTCTTGTACCGGCTGCGTATTGCGCCAAACTCCCATCTAAAAATGAGGGAAGTTTGACTTGCCATAGCTTTTAGCACAAATTACTGCGCTGTATAAGTCCTCAACATACTGCCCGCATAAACATATGCCAATCCTAAATTCGGCATAGTTCAGAAGTCATAAAAACTTCTAATACCATAAACATTGGTTCGTGTGTGTTTCTCGCTGGACAGGCGAGCGACGTCCGGACCAAAGAGATTTTAATTGGCAAAAGTGCTGTTTAGAAATGATCGAAACATTCAGTAGACACTTTTTTTAGTAACGAACTAGGCGGACAAGCAACACAGTTCTAAATTGCATCGAGTTTGTCATAGCATCCTCAACACTAACTAGTTAAACGTATCCGAGTCAGTGACTGCATTGCGCACAGCAGTGGAGCTCCGCTTGGTTTCGTTACGTGAGCTGTGGTGCTTGTCAGTGGTTTCCCACAGAGTAGAGACATTTCTATAGAAGAAAAGAAGAGCCCATAGCATCAGCCTAAATGTCCAGAGTCCAAAGGACTCTTTTCTTGTCCGAAAATATACAGTGACACCCAACTTTAAATGATGGGATGCCTGACTTTTTTTTAATATCCCTAGTAGCCACACCAAGTAGTAAAGTAATTAGATTACACTGAGCATCGCTTTGAAAGTTTTACTAAAGATAAGGTCTAGGCAAGCAGAGGAGGATAAACTCATCCAAGGTCAGCCTGTCCTTTAGGAAACTTTATTTGCACGTGGATTTGAACCAGTGGATAGAATCTAACGCTCCATGGGTGATCTTACTTCATGGATGGTTACACGCGTCAACCATGTGTTACTTACTTCGAGATCACTGAATAGCCAACTTCTAAAACTACATTTAAGGAAGGTAGTGGGTTGCAAATTAAAGTGACCCCCACCCTCCCCCCTCACCCCGGCCTATTCATCCGGCTCTTCCCTCCCTTGGGATGGTGGTCAGTTTGGTTCCCAGGAAGAAATGAGTGCAGACGATTGAGGGAGAAGAGCTTTTTCGGGGTGAGAAAGTGTAAGTATTCGTCAAACAATGACGAGAAAGAACCCATTTCAATATATCTGTCGAGAGCGGGAGAATACGGCTACCGGCGTCCATCCAGATGTTGATGGGTCGTGGCCTCATTACCAATTTGTTGTTTTGCGAGCGCAGGAAATAAACTACTAACCTCTCTGTGCGGTGGTTGTAGAAAGATTCGCTTGTGCATATCGAGGAACATTTTCATACTGCACACCACGATCACTCCTTGTGAAAACTATTTACATAGTGCATAGCTTCTGCGTTAAATTTCAGTTCCTTTTACAACCCAGCCTAAAGTTATCATCTATTCTTGTCTCTTTGTTTTAAAATGTAAAGATAATTTACTCATCCCGTGCTCGTGTAAAGTTTCAGCACGTAGCAGAAGACCACTCAAAGGATTGTTAATCAGAAAAAGTTGATGTGGTCCTTCTAAACTAGACTATGCAGCAGGCATCATTTACATCTTCCCACGGGATTTACAGTAGTTTTCACACTGAAAACTGCTCATGTGCTGCTGCTGCTGCAGAGGTTTCACAGGACGTCCTTTAGTCAGTCGAAATGTGTGTGTGTGTGTGTGTGTGTGTGTGTCAGGGTTGTTTGTGTTGATCCAGGCCTCTGAGCTCTTTGTTTTCGAGGAGGGGTCTCCGGCCTCGCACGGCTGACCTCAGGGTTGCCATGGAGACCTCAGGGAGCGACTTCCTGTATTTTCGGCCCATCCCGCAAATACATTACAGGGCAGCGGTGTGGAGTCAAACTCAAAATGGGAGCGAGGGGAAGAGAAAAGGGAGGAAGACTATTCTATTTTAATGTGATAAATCACTCCACAAAATCTTATGAATGAATAAATATTGTTACAGAGAGCAGAAAATGGAGAAAAAAAGAAGGCAATAAATTTAGAGCCGTATGGAGCAAAGTGAAACCTCCAAAATGTCTTGTTAAATCCTGTCTGACTTTTTAAAGTCCGTCTCAGAACCAGCAGCTTTTCTAGTCTGTAAATGTCGTCAGCAGTGAGTGTAAGAAAATATTGATATTTTGAGTATTGCATGATCGTGTTTTGTGTTACTGAATCAAATTCACTATTGCAATTTATTGCTAGATCAAATCATAATTCCTCAATCATAAAACCTAAATTTCCAGATTCTTGCCAATGAATACTTTAACCACAGCTAGTTAAAGGGAGAATTGGACATTATTTCAGGGGAAACACTAATTTCTGTGCATGCAATTGTGAACTAGAGTGGATGTGTTTGACTTAGCTTAGCTTGAAGAGTAGAAGGAGGGAAATTGTTTCCTTGAGCCAACATATCTGAAACATCAATTCACACGTTGTACACGCAGTTTGATTTGTGTGCAAACGGATTCATAAATACCCAACTTGTGGCTTTGAGAGCTAGCCAAGTTAGCAGTTTCCCGTCTTTGGCTAAGCTAGCTATAGGCTAATGGCAAAGACTCGTCTGCAGCTTTGTTCTTAACTCGCATGCTCGTCCGTCGTCCATAAACGTAGAACGACAGAGCACAAACACATGCGCTATAGCCCGTCCACGGTAGGTGTGCGTTTAGGTAAAATCTACACAAAGACCGACGTATTTGCAAACCATTCACTGAGAAAGACCAGGGGTTTATTATCAACTTTTTCCAGCAGCATTGCTAAACATAGTTTCCAGCCAGTACCCGTAGTACTCCGCACCGAGGGTGTCGAGGGACATTAACCCGCTGTTTTCGTCCTTTTTAGATGTCAACAGTGTTAATGATCAGAGTTCTGGTTTCACGGGCCACCAGCTCGGTTAGTATTTGCGAGTCCTGATTAGAATATCCGCCGGTCCGTTAAACTGCTGACGGACACCGATACACAAGGTCAACTCTTTAGAGAGGAGAGACGGAGCTGAAGTGAGGAGGAAGGGAAACTGCAGGGTCTGTGTTATCAGATTAAGCGTGGAAACTTGTAGGAAAACGCCAGCTACACACACACACACGTGCGTTAACACACTGCTGCGAAGGTCGTGCTTACTGGCAAGTGTTGCTAATGAAGATTAGAAGCACTCGTATTTAGGAAGTCAAGGGGCGCAGATTATACTTGTTTGACTTTCATCCAAACGTTGGCATATGCTGAAATAAAATACGAGCGTCCGCCGGCTGAGCCCACGACGAAGGTATTCGCGGAAAAGGGCCTGAATGGTCTGAGAAATGTTTACTGACAGTCCTGTTGTTTAACAGCGGAAAAACGTGTAAATGTCAAATCCGCCGGGATGAGCAGTAACTAGCGGTGTGGCATTAACGCGGGTACTGAGTCACCAATGACAGTTAGTGGTGCCCAGTTCCCGATGGGAGGTCACGGTGTGTGGACGTTATTTGGGCCACCGACTTTCATCCACGGCGCTCCCTGAATAAATACACATTTTAGGAAAAACTAAAAAAGCGACTTCAAAGAAAAGCTGACAGGTGTTTAATAGTTTTGAATGATTTATCCAAGATAACAACTGATTCAGCAGTGAAAACCAGAAAGCTCGAAGCTACAGTGTTGAAGTGAACCACCACATCACCACGTGATCCAGCGTCCATAAAGTTACACAATAAAATGGAATATGACCAGCAAAAAATACTGCAGATTGTCTCTACTTTGCAAAGGGGTTTTTGCTGTCTTTTTTAATAATCAGATGAAATGATATGGAACACAACATTTTTACGTAATCTGTAAAGTATTTTTTCTGGGAAAAGGCGCAAAGACAGTGAATTGGTTTACAGCTCAGATCTGTGCGCAAAAATGGATCATTAGCAAAGAAAACAATGTCACACCAAATTTAATTCTTATTTGTGATTCGGAAAACTTAACAAAGACTTACGGCCAACAGAATATACTGTAGGTGAAGTTCTCTGGTGCTGAACTACAAGAATAGCTGCCAGACTTCAAAGGTTCACTTTGGCACATTAACACAGTCGGAGGTCATCTGAAGTGCCCGGGTCTTGATGTACTGCACCTTTTTAATGGTGTTTAACCTGGCACACGGAGACGCTCATTGTGTTGGTACAGAGAAAGGGCCTCTTGAGTGGATGAAAGAACACACGGACACGGTGCTCGCTATACTTTAAAGGTTTCCTCTCTGGCAGTTTTAAACATCGATACATCACCATTGAATTAGCTGTCACTGTAGCGTGTTTACTGTACACAGATCAGACCACGATAGACCTTGCCTTGCACCCATGACGTTGGCACAAAATCCACACCAGGTTCCTCTTAAAGGGGAAACTACACTTTTTAATGTTAACTTACAGTCCAAAAATCTTAATAAACATGGATAAACTTTTTCCCAGATCCAGAAAATCCTGTATGCTCAAACTCTGTTGTGTGACGGCAGATAGATAACCCAGAAATAACTCATTTACGTGGTGTCTTTTAACACCACATAAATGAGCGCAACGATCATTTATTTGATAAACGCGTCTTTACTTTTCTTAACTTAAAGGATTTTTAACTGATGGGAAAATACTCTGAATCACTTCTTCTTTAGATGTCGCCGTGGATTAAGGGATCCGTCGCTCTTTGCCAACATGCCCGCAAATCAAATCAATTGGAAAACACGCGTCAAGATATTTTTCTATTATTTTCGTTCAGCTAAAACTGTCTATTGTCTATTGAGCAATAGTGTAGATTCCTGCCACAAGTCTGGATCTTGTGCAAGGACTTGACGTTAGTGTTTACACCTGCTTTTATTTCACTTAGCGCGCTCGCTGGCCCGCCCGCCTGCTCTCCCTCCGTCTCTCTCTCTCTTCGCTCTGTGTGTTAGCCGGTTGCCAAGTGCTAAGAATCTGGGGAATGCTGGGTTGCAATGTTCTGATAAAGTTTGCTTTGTTCCCCAAGTGGCCTGGGCGAGAGAGAGAAACCCAGAGAGTAGCAGCCATAAGTCTACACACATGATC